GGCAAGATAGCCATGCTGAAGATCTCAACTCAACAATCAGAGGCCTTCAGATACAATTATGCCACACTTTTGAAAGGGATAGGAAGCATGACAGCAACTCACTATTACATCTGCCATTTCCCGGCCTCCCTCATGCTCATTGTACATTTTATCCAAGTAAGGAGGAAGGAAGAAGTCAAGACCAAATTGTTGATTTGGTTGCTTCAGCATGCACAGATCTTTCTTCAGAAACATCTGTGCATAAAGAATACAGTAAATACATTTTTTTTCCCTACCATACTTCAGTGTTCTTTCATTCCCATCTCCATTATGGCCTAGAAGTTCCCTAGATCTCCTTTCAGAGAAAAACTTTTCCTCATAAGAACAGACTGTTCAGAAATAGCAGAACAAAGGCCCACCATATTCAGGTTTAGTAGGTGCTCTTTTAGATCCTTTCTAAAAGAGCAGGTTTCTACCCCAAAAGCTGAAAATATGTGAGCACAGCAACAAGGTGGCTCTTCTCAGACTATGAACAAGGGAACATGATGGCTTTAGCTCAAAATAATGTCTCAGACTTGAATTTCTTTAAACCTTAACCATGCAATTTTTTCATTGGTAAATTAAACCTTTTCTTATCACTTTACCCTTCCTGGCAACTGTTTACATGCAGCACACATCATCACTGATAGAAAAATGGAACAGTTCCTGGAACAAAAATTTTCAGTGCATTCTCTCCTGAAAACCCTGAAGTATTTATTGCCCTTACATTCAGCAGGGAGGAATCAAGCTGCAAGAGAATGAGCTCTTTATGTAATGCTTCTCCTTAAAGAAGAGAATTGGCTAGAATGGAATTCCTCATTTTTCCTTGTCCCTTCCTCATCACTCAACACAGCTTCCTAGGAGCCAAATCACTTAATCCAGCAAACTCATACCATCCCTAACACCTCCTCCTTTCTCTTCACACATTTAAACCTTCACCTTCATAGTACCTCATGAGAACAGTATTAAAAATTTTTCTATAGGTTTTGAGAGTGATGAAGCAAAGTTGCCATCAGGTTTTGTTCCTACAGACTCTCAAATCTTTCAGGTCTTTCCTATTCATATGCTGATTTTATATTTTGGATTTACAAGCATTTTATTTTAGCTCTCCCATTACCATCATCTATTAAAATGCACAGTCTCCTTGAGTATGGCTCCATTGCTTCACTGGCTCCATTGCAGCTCTATAGCTGTTTGTATTTTCCCTTAATGAAATCAGATTTCAGGATCAGAGACTTCAAAACCTGTTTGTCAGGAAGCTACATAGTGGTTTCCATGGAAGATCTTTCTACCATCATCTTGCTTCTCTAGAAGCAAAAGACGTATGTACAACTAAAATAGAAATTCACTGCATTTCAGGAAAGCTCTGAAAGTGCAATTTGTACTTTTCTGATTAATTAGGAGATAAGACAGTCTTGTAATATTTGCTGAACAACTGATGGCTATCAGAATTGTTAAAACAATTTTTATTTTTGTTTCCAGGACTACTGAACTAAATAAACTGTTTCAGTTGTGCTGAGGAAGAGAGAAAGAGGGAAAATAGAGAATAGTAACGTGAGTAACATTTTTCACTGACAATTTGTTTTCTGCTCACAACTTACAAGACATGAATAAAGATAAAAGGTGTTATCATTAAGAATCAGAATGAGTGGGTTTCTTGACAGAACCAAAGGAAAAAAATATTAATATGCTGACCTATGAAATCTATAGGTAATAGTCAAATCACAATAAAATTCATTTGGCAAAATAGTAATAGATATGGATAGTAAAAACAAGCCATTCTTTTCAATTTTTGACATCACTCTCTTCAGCCAAGGCCATGCTGTTCTTCATCTTTTCAATGGTTAAGGAATCTAATTTGCAACTAACAATCGTTACAAAGTAACCACAAATTCATGAGAAACATAAATAGAAAACAATTATTTATATTTTCCTAGAAGGAAAAATTCACAATGAATATGACAAAAGAAAGCAAGTAAGGAGCTGGTTTTAAATTGTTTGTGATTACAATGAAAGAAAACCCTCCTTAATTGGGCTGTTATCTGTGCCTTCAACACAGTGGTGTCTGTTATCATTCTTTAAAGTAAAATCTGGTAGCCTTTCCTTTACAAACCTGTTTTTCAGGTACATGCAACTCTGCTCTTAAACAGGATGAGAGCCCACAGTAGATCTGATTTATTTTCATTTGGCTAAAATACATTCCCTGATTTTTTTTTTTTTTCATCTTATCTCAAGGACAGTGGCTCTGGTCATAGAGATCTGGGCTATAAGATGTAGCAAAGTTATCTGTCTTGCCTCAGAGCGCCGTGTCCATCTCCAGAGAATGGCCTGTTGTCAGAATCCCTTCTGAAGATGCAGTTAGTTGAAAATTGCAGGTGCAGGTGCTTGCAACTACTCCAACTCTTTGTGCATCCTTCTGAGAGAAACAAAGTCTGAAACGTAGGAGTGGCAGTATTTTGAAGGCAAGTGCAATATAATGAGGGTAATTTGTCTGGAAAGGTAGAGATAGCAGTACCTATAATTTCACAAAACATACTTTGAGAAAGGAAGAGCTGCATGCCTTAAGGTGCTAAATATGATCAGGATGTTCCATTCTGAACACCTGGACATGCTTGCAAAATGCAGGGCATGTCTCCATCCAGGCTGGAAAGAAGGAGCCCACTGCTACAGGGTGGAGTGGGTTCCTTTGTGCAAGTCAGCACAAATCCCAAACCCCTGAGGTGGTTTTGAAGGTACGCAGCTTCTAGACACAAGCTATTGCCAGACTGTTTTTTAGTGTTGCCTCTTCCTCAGAGTGTGGATTAATCTCCACACTTCATTCCCCATGTCTGTTTCTTTCGTAAGACTCATGCCTTTCTGACTGCAGGTCATGGGCTTCTGCAGCTGAAGGTAGCTGGGAGGTTGCTGAGCTGAGCTGAGCTGAGCTGAGCTGAGCTGAGCTGAGGTAGTAGGCTAAGCAGAGCGGTAAAAGTGATTCACAGTGAGTTGACCTCAGACCCTTCAAATAGTGCAGTCCACAAAGATTTTGCCAGTATTCCACTGGAAGCTTACCATGGATAGCTTTTTCAGTGTTTGACTGGTTGGTGCATTGGCAGGGACAAGAGACTGAGAAATGTTTGACCAGGGCATGAATGAAATTACTTTTTTCTTTAGCTGGTCCTAAGCATCTCAACCTGAAGTTCTAAGGAGAGAGACTAGGAGTAGCAGAGCTCATTTAAAGCTGCCTTTTTGCCAGAATCAGTAAATTCATAGCTCTTTATCACTCTGGGTCTAATAACATGGGTTTTCAGAATAGCTTTAGCTGTAGGTGAGTATAAACCACCTCCCTTAGAGTAGGCCAGAGGTTTTCTCTTGTCTGCTTGATGCTTAAGTGACTGGAGGTCAGAAGAAATTTTCCCTCCTATTCTTCATCTTATTTACTCATGTGCCTCAGGTGAGCACTGTGATGAGACTGGAAGCTTGTCATGAGAAGAGATTTAAAAGGAGCGGGGTGATATGGGTTGCTGAAACACAGTAGCCCATGAAATTCATGGCTCTCTCCTGTATCTTCCTGGTGATGCCTGTGAATGACTGACCAGCAGGTGCTGTGATCCTGTCTTCCTCTGCTCCCCTCCCTGCTAGGTAACACTTGGCATGTGAAGCTCTTCAATAGTGACCTCATTTAGATGGCAGAATTTAGAAGGCATTGTTTGTTATTATATAGGATGGTTCAGAAAACTGTGTTTTATGAGTGCAGGCAATTCTTGTGTCATGGATGGAGAAGAGAAAGACATTCTGTGTTCCATCAGCCCTCAACTGATAAAGAGATCATCCAAAAAGAATTTGAGAAGCCCAAGGGAGCAAAAACCTCCTGCTGTGCTGTGATCGGCATCAGAGAAACTCTTCCCAATAAACAGCTCTATCATATGCAGTAGCAAGGATGTCCAATGAGAAAAAAGCAAGAGAGGAGGTTTGTACCGAGGATAGCATCCAAATGCAGACATGTTTACATCCTGTACAAAAAAGTGTTTCTCTCAGAATGGCTGTCATGCTAGGGTAGTGTTATGGTCACTCTAAGCATGAGTATCTCAAAGCCAGGGGCCTTACTAGACAGGAAAGCTGGACTGGACAAACGCAGATCAAACCAATATGGTTAATCAAACGTTCTCCGTTTATTAGTTAGAAGATGGCAGTTTATATACACTTCAATATAGTTTACAGTTTACAAAGGCACTCCCACTGGCAAGCGAACATTGTTTGTCTTTGTCTTGAGGTGGACTAAACTTCACACTACAAACCTACACTACTTCACACCCAGAAAGCCCAGTGCTTCACATCACTCCTTAATACAATTTCTAACTGCGCCACAAGCTCTTAATTTCTAATTCCGTCACAGGTTAGAAGGCCTTAAAAAGTCCAGATCAGAGGCATAGACTGGAGTAGCTCAAATCTCATTCCAGAGATAAATCATGCCCTCACTCTCTCAGAAATGCTGCAACAGTATCTAAACCTAACCACTGATTGGTTTGACCTCAACTTCTTGAGAAAATTCACCTCCCTGTCAAACTACAACAGGCAGCCTGTTGCAGTAAGTGTCAGGAGGGACACACCTTTATCTTTTGTTCGGGGGGAGCACATTAGAGTGGAATGAGCTATGCTTCAGAAGTTCTGTGCTTGGAGGATTTTCTTTTTCCATTTTAAAACATGTATTTAATGATTATAGTGGCTTGCCCAATATTAGGCCAGACTATTGATCAGCCATATCTGGTGTAAGAAGTTGTTTGTGAGGGCCTAAAGATTTTTATGCTGCTTTGCAAACCAAAAGTTGGTCCCGTGTGGTCTTTGTCAGTCAATAAAGAGATCTTTGGAAGTGTCCCTAATTCAGAAAATAAATCCTAAGACATCTTTTCTTTTTTCACAAAAGATCTGTGAGGCAGGACAGTGCTGGTGTAAAGTAAGTGTAGGCCTTAAGAGTGGATGACATTACAACTTCCCGTGCATCATTCGAGCAGTGTGGATTTATTTCTCACTAAATCAGTAAATAAATATTAGCTGATATGACACGTTGCCCCCAAAGTAATTGTCACAAATGTGTGTGCTTGAGATCACCCAAGAAAAGAAAGAGCTGATCCCAGGTGGTATGTCAAGGCCAAGGCCGAACAAGTATTTCCCAGATCTCACTGCAGCCTAGAAAGAAGCAAGGGAGAGGAGATGCAGCGCCACAGTAATAAATATCAATATCGATAGCAAAAAGTTCTGCCTTGAATAATAAATAAAAGCTCACACACGTATAGTGAAAACATCCATGGGTCCTGTCACCCAAATCTGTATTTGACAAGGGTTGTGTGCAGGGTGCTTGTGCCTGCTTTGCCAAGGGAAGCTCTGGGGTTCCCAGGTTGCCGAGTGATGGCTCTGCACTCGGTGTCTGTTGGGGCTCTGGGTGCCCGGGGCCATGATGAGTTCCGTGCCCGGGCCATGATGAGTTCCATGACCGGGCTGGGACGGCGGGCGGGGCTGGCCTGTGATGCGCTCTGGGCTCTGTGACAGCACAGGGGCCGTGTCACAATGGGGGCAACTATAGAAGGCCCCAAGCCGGTGCCGCTGCCCCAGTAGAGCCTCGGCAAGCGGTGAGTACACAGCAGAGGGGAGAGGGGGCTGGAGGAGGGCTGGGACAGGAGCGCCGGTACCCGGGGCTGCCCCGTCTCCAGGGCCCAGCGCCCGGCAGGAGGGCCTTGCTCAGGGCGCGGTGCTCGCGGGGGCAGCGGTGCAGCCTTGCCAGCTGCTGGGGGCCCTTTCCTTCCTGCCACCACATCCCTGCCGCTCCTGCCCCTCACTGTCTGTCTCCATTCCGGCCCCACTGAGCCCCTTCCGTGTGTCCTCCTGTAGACCATGGCTTTACCGTCACTGTTCTTCGTGCTGGTGCAAAGACTGATCCAGTTCCCCCAGCCAGCTGGGGATGGGCTGGATGAGGCCACGCACCAGAGAATGCGGGAGCGTCAGGAGCTGCTGGACCGTGAGATGGCCCGGCTGCTGCAGGAGCTGGAGCAGCAGGACGAGGGCTGGGGAGCCATGCTCTTTGGTGCCCTGCAGCAGTGGCCATTCTGGGTTCTTGCTGGCATCCTGCTCCTCTTGGGCCTGTGGCTGGGCTGCAGGAGAAGGAGCTGTGAGGCCAGCAGCAGCAGCAAGGACCAGAGCTCCTGCAAGACCTTGGCAGATGAGACAGTAACGGAACAGGAAGAAGACACTGCTGATCCAGAGGAAGGTGGAGAAGATAGTGATATGGCTCTGGAGGCAGACGACAGCGGCACTGAAAATGACAGAGAAGGCAGACCTGTGGCTGCAGGTGATGGAGACAAGGATGATGCCATTTGTTACAGTGAGCTCATGGGCATTCTGTTTCCCCTTCCCCGGGACCCTGTGACTCTGATCAAGATAATCCGGGATCCCTCCTTTCTGCCCCAACGGGGTTGGCAGAGAGCCAGGGAAGCCCACCCTGTCCAAAGTCTATATAGACCCCTGACATTTCCTGTTCGTCCTCTTTGAAGGCAATTATGATGTGAAGGTGAAGGAAGACGGCGATGTCAACAGTGGCAATTATGATGCGAAGGAAGACAGCCATGTCAACGATGGCAATGGCTATGAGTTAAAGAAAGAAGGACAGAGTGATGGGGATGTGCCAGGAGACACTACCACTGAAGGAGATGAAGAAGAACCTGGCAGTGTTGCTGGAAATGAACTCGACGAGGCAATGAAGAAAACAAGGATGTTCAGGTGGATCAAGAAAGGATTCTGGAAAGGAAAAGGGAGAAGGAAATCAAGAAAAAAACCAATAGTGCAACTATAAAGGCAGGCAACAACACTGATGTAAATGAAGGTGAAGACAATGTAGCCGGAACGGAAGAATACATGAATGTGAAGGCGCAGGAAAGCAGAGGTGCCAATGACCAGAGAAGCAAAGAGTGGACTGGGCAGGAAGATAGCAATGAATGTGGGAATGAAATTGCCCATAGTGGTTTTCCTGCACCTGAGGAAGCAAATATGTGCCGCGTTCCCTCCGGAAAGGATGTTTTCGATCCCGGCTCAGCTCTAGCTCCGGAGGGAGCGAGCAGGTTCCCTGAGCCCTCCGCTGGGCTACTCCGAGGGGAGGCTTTGGAGAGCTCGGGATGGATCTTTGGCTCCGAGGGCGATGGAAAGCGGGACCCACGCGCGGAAGAGATGACAAGGAAGCGTCCTTCTTTGGGGGCAGAAGATCCTTTATTTCCCTCAGGGTGAGGGAGAAACGAACCAGGATCCAACTAACGCTTGGGTGCGTTGGATCTTGACCAATTGAGTTGGCCAACGTGTTCCACACGTTGGCCGCGGGCTGAGGCACAATCCAGGTGTGGCTGGCTCTGATGAACAGGCCGATGGCGAGGGCCAGAAGAATGGGGCTTGTCGATGACATCTCAGCTGAGCTGGGTCGCAGGCGGGTCAGCAACTGAAAGACAACTGAAAAGAATGATCACTCAAATAGAAGGGGAAGGTCTAAACTTAGGTCAAGGGAAAAGGGATCCAGGGAGTCTTCAGGGTATTCGGGAATGGGAGGGGACTCAGCTAGGAGGAGAAAAGAGTCGGGGTTATTCAGGGTGGGCTTCCTCCGCCTCCGGAATGCGGCCATGGCGACCTGCGGCTTTTCGGATCCCGAGGAGACTTTGGCGGTGTATGGTCTTACGAACTTGGACGGGACCCACCTGAGACCTGAGGGCGTGGACACGCAAGCGTATCCCCGTCCCCAAGTCACCAGGTCATAGGGTCCCTCCAGCCGCCAGGTCTCCGGGTCCTTTATCATCACTGGTGGTCGTTCTTTGACCTTGGCGTGTTCGCACTGACCGAAGTGCCTCGCGATTGGCGGGTTGGAGTTGTCATAAGAGCAATTGAGAAAATTGATGGTGAAGAGAGCTCGTGCCAATCGGACCTGGGGGGACTCAACCTTCATTGTCGGTGTCTGTTGTTGTAGCATCCTTTTTAGACTCTGGTGAGTCCTCTCCACCACGGCTTGACCTGACGGGGAATAGGCGATGCCAGTACGATGTTCAATTCCCCATTGCTGCAGGAAAGCTGCGAATTCCCTGGACTTGTACCCCGGAGCATTGTCTGTTTTTAGTAATTTAGGGATGCCCAGCGTGGAGAAGGCCAACATCAGATGTTTTTTGACATCGGCAGCTTTCTCCCCTGTGTGGGCAGAGGCGTAAACCGCACCGGAGAAGGTGTCAACAGAGACGTGCACATACTTAGATCGCCCAAAGGAGTTGATGTGGGTGACATCCATCTGCCACACCTCGCAGGCTTGGAGTCCTCGGGGATTTGCTCCTGCGCTCACCGATGGTAGTGGGAGCGACTTACAGGAGGGACATGTTGCCACAATGGCCTTGGCCTGGTCACGGGTTAGATGGAACTGCCGGACCAGACCTGGCGCATTCTGATGGTGGAGTTGGTGACTGAGCTTTGCTTGTTGGAATCGCACAAGCCTTGCGGATGAGCTCCGCCACCAACTCTTGTGGCCTTGTCATTCTTTTGGACCTGTTATGGCTCAGGAAGACCCACTCTATGATAGAGAGAGGGTCTCTTCGCCCCTGGTCCTTGTCCCCTTTTGATGTCTCTCTCCATTGGAAGATGAGTCCGTGGAGGTGTGGCAGTCTGCCTAAAATGATGAATTTAAATGGCAGGTCCAGGATGTAGCGGTGGGCCTGCCTGGCAGACATCAACTCCTGAACCTTCTCAAGTGCAGCTTGGGCCTCTGGGGTGAGTTCCCTGGGAGAACAGGGCTCTTCCCCCCCTTTCAATAAATTGAAAAGAGGGGCTAGGTCGTCGGTGGGAATACCTAACCAGGGTCTCACCCAATTTAAGGACCCACACAGTTGCTGGACATCAACAAGAGTTCGAATTTTATTTTTGATTTCCAATTTTTGCGGAACAATGGTCCGCTTTCTGATTTCTAACCCAAGGTATTTCCAGGGTGGCATCTTTTGAATTTTATCATTTCGCAGCTCGAACCCTGCATCAACCAACAAATCCGTTGTCAGGTGAAGCGCGTGGGCAAGTAGATCGTCGGTAGGGGCACAAATAAGTATATCATCCATATAGTGCAAAATGATCGCGTCTCGCACGGCTTTCCGAATTGGGTCTAATACCAGAGACACATACCATTGGCAGATAGTAGGCGAGTTCTTCATGCCTTGGGGAAGTACCCGCCAATGGTAGCGCTTCATTGGGGCTTCTCTGTTGATGGTAGGAACAGAGAAGGCAAAACGTGGGGCATCATCAGGGTGTAGAGGAATTTGGAAAAAGCAATTTTTAACATCGATAACGGCCAGATTCCAATTTTCAGGCAACATCGTAGGGGACGGCATCCCTGGTTGTAGAGACCCCATAGGCTCTATGACATTATTAATGGCACGGAGGTCGTGGAGGAGCCGCCATTCGTCTCGTCCTGGTTTCTTGAGGACAAAGACGGGGGAATTCCAGGGAGATGTTGTTTCCTGGATATTCCCTTTGGCCAACTGCTCGTCCATGAGTTCCTGGAGCGCTTTTAATTTTTGCTTATTGAGCGGCCACTGCTCCACCCAAACGGGAGTATCTGAGAGCCAATTAAGTTTTTTGGTGGGACGCTCCTCAGTGACCGCTAACCGAAAAACCTGGGGGGTCGGTATTTCCAATTTTGCCCCCCATTGGGCCATCAGGTCTGTACCCCACAGGGGTTCCGTATAATCTAATACAAACGGGCGTATGTAAGCCGATTGCCCGTCCGGCCCCACAAATTGAACGATGTTTTTAGATTGTTTAGCCAATTGAGACCCTCCAACACCTTGAATTTGACCAGCCACGTCTTGTAATTCCCAACGCGACGGCCAATCCTTAGAGGGAATGACCGTGACGTCGGCCCCAGTGTCTAACAGACCATTTAGCCATCTGTGCTGATCGCCATGCCAGATGTTACAGCCCATCCTGGGCTTGTCGCTTCCCATAATGTGCGCAGCACAAACCTTATGGGCTTGGGCTGCATTTTTCTTCCACAGATGTTCCGGGAAGACAGGCAATCCGGTGACGGGGATCGCCTGGGCGATGACTTGGCCCTTGGGAAGGAACATGGGCGGCTCAGCACAGTAAAGCCATAGTAATAATTTCTCCGGGTTGGTGGATGTCGTGCAAGGCGCGATGTGGATGTTTAGTGGTGTAAATTTTGTGTCCCCCAGGACGATGTACTTACATCGGAGTTTCCTCCAGGTCCCAGGTGACTCGGTGTCGATAGTCACAAATCGCCAATCGCTGTCTGTGAGGTGGATTGATTCGGTCAGTGCGAGCCTGTAAGGAGGGAAATTGGAATAGGTGTTAAGGATGGGGCATGGCTGGTCGGGGCTCCGGCCAAGCCATGCCCTTGGGATGGTGTCTACATCCTCCTTAAAATATTGAGGCTCGACACGCCAAGGCTTCGCAGGTCGCTTATAGTCATGTCCGGTAGAAATGTCTGGCGGTGGGCAGCATTCCGGGCTGATGGTATTGCCTTTCTCCTCCCCTGCAGAAGATGTTTTTCTCCCCACCCTATTTTTGTCGGAGCGCAGGGGGGAGCTGCGCTCAGTTCTTAGTTTTTTGAAGCCCCTTTAGTTAGGGGGTTTCCCCTCCCCTCTTGCTGCCGCCTGAATTCATGAAATTGTTCCCGCAGAGGGCATTGAGGCATCCAGTGCCCAGGCCTTTTGCATAGATGGCAGGTCCGATCGTTGGTGTTTCCCCTGGAAGCCGGCCGACGCATCTCTGCTGGCGTAGATGGTGTTGAAGGTGGCGGAGTGGCGACCTTAGCGAAAGAGACTCTCTTAGGTGACGGGCGAGGGGTCTCTCGCTGCTCGGGTGGGACGATGGTCACCTTCCTCGCGCACACTTCTAACATGTCCTGGATGGTCGGCTCCGGATCCAGGGGCAGGCTGAGGATGGCGGCTTTACATGCAGAGTTGGAATTCTGCTTAGCTACCTCTGTCAGGATCCCCTGCCTGAGGTTGCTGTCCGGAACTTGCACTTCTATGGCCCTGCAAAGTCTATCAATGAATGTTACGAAGGCCTCCTGCGGGTCTTGCTTGATAGATAGATAATTAGTGACCATTCCCGCAGGCCTCAGCTTGAAAAAGGCCTGCTTCGCAGCCTTAGCACTAATGGCCAGCGCCTCCCGCGGGATTTTGTCAGCCTGCTTGGCCGCTGAATCCCATTCCCCAAACCCGCACAAATGGTCGATGGAAATGATCCCCCCATCCGCATCCAAGGAGGCCTCTGCAATGGCCCAAAGATCGGGCAAAGCATCCCTGACTTCCCTCCTCCATGCGGACTCCCATGCCATAAATTCCGCCGGAGTGATAAGGCATGAAAAGAGGATCCGCATGTCGGAGGGAACATACTCATTTGAATCGAGAGTGGCCCGTAATAAACCTCTAAAATATTCGCTGTCACGGCCGAATTCCTTTTGGGCCTTGCAGAGCTCCCGGATGGTCTGCTGGGGGATCGGGGACCACTGTGCTAGGAGCCTACCCCCCCTCCGCGTAGTGAAGGTGACTGGGGCGGCGGAGAAGGTAGGCAGGGAATGGGGTAGGCCGCAGTTCCCACGCTCCCCCCCCCGGAACCCGAACCGTGGGAACCGGAAGAAGGGCCCTGGGAACCGGAAGGTGTCATGGGAGGGGCGTGGCCAGGACTGGGAGGAGGGGCCGATGGTCGGGCCCCTCCTTGGGCGGAGTAGGGGGGTGGAGAAGTGACATCAGGGGGTGGAGAAACAATGGTGGGTGGGGAAAGGGAGGAGTCGGAGGAGCGGAAGGGGTTGGCCGCCGAGTGGAAGGGGTTGGAAGGGGCAGGGAAAGGCAGGGATTTTTGGGAAGAAGGAGCACAAGTGGCGGGAAACTCCATGCGGTCTCCACCATCTTGTGGGGTTTGGCGGGAAAAGGATTGGCGGCCATTTTGAGAATCTAGAGGGAGAATCTGAGGGGAAGCAGGGCGGCCATTTTGAGGGTCTAAGGGAGAAGGTGACTCAGGGGAATTTTTAAAACTAACTGATTTTCTGAGGGACGGGGCTGTACAATGCGGGGAAACAGGGGTCTGGGGACAGGGCAGAGTAGCGCTGGCGCCATTTGCGCTACCCTGCAAGGGAGCTCGAGCGCTGGAAGTGCTCAGAGCTGGGGTAGAAAGGGAGGAAAGAGGTCCCGGGGTAGAATTGGGTTTTAACTTGTCTCTGGCTGGCTGTGGCAAACCTTCAAATTTATTCTTAACTAAGAGCCGAATTTGTAATGTCAAATGAGTAAAAGGGGAGAGGGAAGGATCCCCCTTTCGGAGAATCTCCCTCCCGACCTGGTCCCAAAAGGGGACTTGATAAAGTTTTTCTGTTGAAATTTCCTGGAAGGTAAGCGACAACCAACGGACAAATTTTTTAACTTCAGGTTTTTTATATTTAACATTCCCACCCTCAAGGAGTCCCACAACTTGGAGGTAAAGCTTCCGGTCTGGCACAGACAGCTTAGCACCCATACTGTCAATGGTAATTTGTGCCAGACCCTGACCAGTGGAAAATTAGCAAATGAACCAAGAAGATCCCTCCCGGCGCCCAACTCACCACTACCTCCCCCCCCTCAAAACCCGGGACGGGGGGAATCAGTCCAGTGGCCCTCCCTCCACAGAGGTCGTCCCAGGACTGCACGGCCTGGCTGACTGTCTCCCTCCCTTTTTCCTAAGGAGGCGGGCGGCCCCCGGTTAACTGCCCGTTTGTTTTTAGGAAGAAAAGAGGGAGCACAAGGAGGAGGAAACAACTGGAAAGGGAGAGTAATGGGGATGGGATGGGGGACCCCCGCAACTTACAGGCTGGAGGTCCGGACCGCTGGGGAGAAAACGAAAAAGCCGCTGGTCAGGCGCGTGTGGTGGATCGACGTCCTGGGTGCTGAGGACGCTGCCGATCCAATCCCCGGGAGCGCAACCCTCTAGAACGAGGGTCTGCTACTACCGGGGTGCGATGACGGCCAGGAAGCGTCGAAAGAGCTCCGTCCGCGGGGTCCGCTGTTGCCCTCGGGCCCCACGTTGGGCGCCACCGCTGCCGCGTTCCCTCCGGAAAGGATGTTTTCGATCCCGGCTCAGCTCTAGCTCCGGAGGGAGCGAGCAGCTTCCCCGAGCCCTCCGCTGGGCTACTCCGAGGGGATGCTTTGGAGAGCTCGGGATGGATCTTTGGCTCCGAGGGCGATGGAAAGCGGGACCCACGCGCGGAAGAGATGACAAGGAAGCATCCTTCTTTGGGGGCAGAAGATCCTTTATTTCCCTCAGGGTGAGGGAGAAACGAACCAGGATCCAACTAACGCTTGGGTGCCAACCAAGGAAGGCAGAGAGAAACTGCTTGACACAGGATTATATAGGGTGGGGGCGGAGAGAACTGGGACCAATAGGGGAAAGGTATGGGTGGCTCCCTGGGGAGGGGTCTGAGGTAAGGGGCCAATAGAACAATGGAACGGGAGGGGCCCTGGGCCTTCACCCAATCACTCGACGCCCTGGATGGAAGTTTCTGGATCTCGGGGTGGGGTGCCGGGTGATTGGCAGGGCTCCTGGGTAGAGACAAGGGAGTAGTTTGGTGGAGTAACTGGGAGTGGTCTGGTGACTGAAAAGGGGAAAGGCGGGAAGGGATGGGGCAGTACCAATAGGAAAAGGAAGAGGGGGGTACATAGAACATACTAACTATAAAATTGAACAAAAACAGAAAAACTGACCCGTACAACCGTAACGCAATCAGAACATAAAATAACGCACCACCACAAATATGGAAGTTATAGAAGATGGCAGTGATAGAAACAAGGATGAAGAACAGGCTGATGTGATGTGGAGGGAAACAAGAATAAGGATAGACAAGAAGAAGAACAAGGTAATGTGTCTGCCAGTGAAAAAGAAGCTGTTGTGCCTCCTGCACCACTCGCAGGAGGAGCTGCGGCAGAAGCAGCAGCGCAGACTCCTGGAGACACTCTGCACCGGCTCCTACCTGGATGTGGAGAAAACCTCCCGCTGGTTCTTCCAGATGGTGAGATGCTCCTGGCTGCATGTGCCTCAGTCATACTCATGGCACTTGGTGTTTCAGCCCTGCAGCCGGTCCTGCCAATTCCAGCTGAGCAGAGGCAAGAGGACCCTGTCGGTGGAGATGCTTTTTGGCGTGCGCCAAGGGGACTCTGACATCTTTGTGGTCAACCAGCCCACAGAGGCCCAGAAAGGCAACTCCAGTAACCTCGTGAGCAGTCAGCCCGCCAAGGCCAACATCCTCGCAAGCACAGCGTGGCCTGAGACATTCGCTGTGGCAGAGGCAAAATTCTTCCAGCACATTGCCAGGCAGATACCGTGTAAAGGGTTGCACCTGAAATACCTGCAGCTCTTCACCTGCATGCTGAGCGGCACAGGTTTTTCCACCTCTACCTGGAAGACTCTGGTCATGCATGTGTTAAACATCATACCGCGGGTCTACTGGCACAGGAAGGAATTTCCACTGCGGCTGTGGGACATCATGGCGTTCCTGCAGTTCTGCCTGAAATGGAAACGCCTGGACCATTTTGTTCTAGGCAACGAGAAGCTTCCTGCAGAGATCAGCGTGCCTCCAGCAATGCGAAAGGTTGAGCCGCTCAACCTCTCTGAATACCTGGCCCGAGATCCGGATGCCCACAGGAAGGCGATGGAGGCTCATGATCAGCTGCACTTTCGCCTCTGGATGCTGCTCTCCAACCAACACTAAGAGGAGTTCCCTGCACAAAGCTGTGATGGAGAAGTTCACAGCCGATTGCAGCGACGTGGACTCTTTGTGATTGTTGCAGTTGTCCCTGACAATCCCAAAGCTGCTTTCCTGCTCCTGCGGAAGGAAGATGCTGCAGCACATGGATTCCTTGTGCAGACACTTCTCTGAGCGGCCTTGCCCTTCACCTTCCATTTACAACAGTGCTGTTGCCTAAGTCTAGGAGGCAGAAACTGGCTCCACCTGCACATCCTCACAGAAGAATAACAGTGAAGCTGATGGAGGTTGCTTGGAATACCTCGAAGACAGCAACCTAGCCTATTAGGGACTTAATGTAGTTATTTAGTCGTAGTTTTAATTAGACTTGATTCTTAGGATTCATTCCAGAGGCCCTTTAGCGTTGGCAGTATACAACTATTTGGCAAAGTTACCCTTAGTGTAGAGAAATAGAGTTTAGACTAGATTAGTTTAAACCCTTAGTTTAGAGAATTACCCTTAGTTTAGAGAATTCCCCTAGTTGCTTGTCTGCTTTTAAATAATACTGGAATATCTATGTTTGAGAAACTAATAAAAGAAGATAAGTTTCTCAAATTGCCTGAAATATGTCATTCTTTGTACATAACCCTCTGTATCATAGAGAACGTCCTTCCTATACCTCTATCTGAAATAAAGACTCTTTGCAAACAGAGATGTTGGATATATTAAGTATGCTGTCTCTTGAGCATTTCCATAGAAATGCTCGAAGTTTGAACTGAAAATGCCCTGAAGTGCCTGAAATTTTGCAGCAGAGTACTCCTCAACTTTTTTAGCAATCTTTGGAAAGATTGCTAAAAAGTTTTCTTTATGCTGTCACTTTTACACGCTCCTAGGGAACAATTCAGTCCTAAAAGACTGAGCTACCCTTCCGTAATAGCTGCCCTTCAGCAATATCTACATATATATGTGTGAAGAAATAATAAAAGGAGAAAAATTTCTCAAATTGCCCGAAATCTGTCCTTCTTTTTATTTAACCCACCATTTCTTTAAAAATATCCATCCAGTGCAACTACCAGAAAAAAATGCCAAAGTGACTCAAACGGTGATTGTGTCCAGCAGTCACTTCTCAGTATTCCGCTTCCATAGCGCTTTGAAGCAGGGCTATTAATTTTGCCTCTTGAATTCAACCAGAAGTCATGACAGTGAAAACAGCTAAAATATTAATGAAATATTTTAGCTCCCACTGTCATTAGAAAAGTTCCCCTTCCTTCAGGGCATGGAAAAAAAACGGCTGTGGCCCATGTAAGAGAGAGAAGCCTGCTGTGGGGACAGGAACAGGCAGCTCCCTTTAGGGAGAGCAAGTAGGAACCTCCCAAAGGAGGATCCCTGCCAGCAGCAGAACTTGCTGCTGCACTGAGGGAGAAGTGTGCTCACAGAGGTCCCCCTGCCTTTTGCCTTCTTTGCTGGGCAGGCACTGCCCCCACCACAGCCCCATGGCTTCCTGCTGCACAATCCTCCCAGCGCTAGATTTGCCAGGGCCAGAATTATTGCAGGTGCTTAAAATGTGGGCCTGGCCCTGAGTTTTGGTGCAATCGCAAGCGTGCTGCGTGTGTGAGGGGCATGCTGAGGGAGTGGGGGAGGCTGGAACATACAGTGTTGCCATTGAAACCCTAGGGTGTAACTCAGCTGCTGATTTTTACTGGTATGCAGTAACACTAGGAGGGAAACTGAAAGCAGTGTTCAGTAAGAGTAAGCAAAGGCAAATAATCGGGATGTTTTTCTGTGGCTGAGCTGTTCTTCCAGGCCTTGAAAACAGGAGGCAGCACTGATGAAGTAACTGAGCAAGTCTGCTCGGCCTTAACTGACCCCAATCAGCTCTCTGTTCGCATGGCCCACACGAACCCACGTTCAACTGACTCCCAGCCCGCTCTCACCGACCTGCAGCTGAGCCTTTCCCGGGGCGCCTTTCAGTGAGCAGAATTCAACCATTTTTATGGATTTAGCAAAGGCTGAATGGAGCAGGGCCCTGGTGTCAGATGAGCATTTGGAGAAAGCAGCTTTGAGTCAAATGCATCACAGCCAGAGAATGTCAGCACATGCCGGCAGTGTCAGAAGAGCTCTTGAGTCAGGTCAGGGCTTCTGTAGGCAACTGTCCTTTGGATTTACTGAAGAAAATCCATTAGGGACTTAATGTAGTTATTTAGTCGTAGTTTTAATTAGACTTGTTTCTTAGGATTCATTCCAGAGGCCCTTTAGCGTTGGCAGTATACAACTATTTGACAAAGTTACCCTTAGTGTAGAGAAATAGAGTTTAGACTGGATTAGTTTAAACCCTTAGTTTAGAGAATTACCCTTAGTTTAGAGAATTCCCCTAGTTGCTTGTCTGCTTTTAAATAATACTGGAATATCTATGTTTGAGAAACTAATAAAAGAAGATAAGTTTCTCAAATTGCCTGAAATGTGTCATTCTTTGTACATAACCCTCTGTATCATAGAGAACGTCCTTCCTATACCTCTATCTGAAATAAAGACTCTTTGCAAACAGAGATGTTGGATATATTAGGTATGCTGTCTCTTGAGCATTTCCATAGAAATGCTCGAAGTTTGAACTGAAAATGCCCTGAAGTGCCTGAAATTTTGCAGCAGAGTACTCCTCAACTTTTTTAGCAATCTTTGGAAAGATTGCTAAAAAGTTTTCTTTATGCTGTCACTTTTACACGCTCCTAGGGAACAATTCAGTCCTAAAAGACTGAGCTACCCTTCCGTAATAGCTGCCCTTCAGCAATATCTACATATATATGTGTGAAGAAATAATAAAAGGAGAAAAATTTCTCAAATTGCCCGAAATCTGTCCTTCTTTTTATTTAACCCACCATTTCTTTAAAAATATCCATCCAGTGCAACTACCAGAAAAAAAATGCCAAAGTGACTCAAACGGTGATTGTGTCCAGCAGTCACTTCTCAGTATTCCGCTTCCATAGCGCTTTGAAGCAGGGCTATTAACTTTGCCTCTTGAATTCAACCAGAAGTCATGACAGTGAAAACAGCTAAAATATTTATGAAATATTTTAGCTCCCACTGTCATTAGAAAAGTTCCCCTTCCTTCAGGGCATGGAAAAAAAATGGCTGTGGCCCATGTAAGAGAGAGAAGCCTGCTGTGGGGACAGGAACAGGCAGCTCCCTTTAGGGAGAGCAAGTAGGAACCTCCCAAAGGAGGATCCCTGCCAGCAGCAGAACTTGCTGCTGCACTGAGGGAGAAGAACCTGCAACTTACAGGTTGGACACTGAAATCCACAAGAAAATTCACATTTGCTCCAAGCATGAAGCCAAGTCCTATCTCTTCCTGTTTCCTTCATCAGTGAAGCACAAACTCAGAATTTTAAACTGTGTTGTGTTCTGCACAGCTGCTACTAGAGAGTATGAGCAGAAGCAGCAGGACAACCTGCTGCTCTCTTCAGGTTTATTATGGAAATATGAAATGTCATGGAATCTTACTGGTATAAAGAGTCTTTTCTAGTTCACAATTTCTACTCCGTAATTTGAAATTAAACTGAATATGGTCTGACTCCTAAGACTTTTACTGCACCTGTAAATCCACTCACTCAATGAGAAGGTGGGAGGACTCTGCCTTGGAGGGAAAGGAGGGTAACATAGGTCATGAAACTGAATCCTATTAAAATTATTCTTCATGATAAAGTCACATCCAGCCCTTTGTCAATGTAAGCTGAAATGTTTTGATGCACCAAATTCAGGTTTGCTTGCTTACAAAAATCTGAATCAGAACTATAACCTGTATCATCTAAACCATCATTTCCAATAACCAGCGTGACAAAACACTAAGTTCACATAAAAGCAGATACGTTTTATCTTTTTAGCCATAATTTTTTTCATCTATCATTGGGATCTCTATTAAAGAGTGATGGTAATAAATAATAAGCTCTTCCTAAGGGTTCAGTAAAAATATGCAATGAATTTTGCTAACAACCTAGTACAACAAATATTCTGTATTTTAACCTTGCAGGGAAGCTCCAAGAAAGGTTACTTCTTTTTTATTTATTCCCACCCTGTTACTCCACCCTTCCTGACGCGCCCCTAAAAATATCTTGCACTCATCTTACATAATGCCAGCAAAAAGTTACATGTATTATTCCTGATTGCTAATTTTTCTTAAGCAATTTTGGAGTGATCTGATTCAGGCAGCTTTTGGAAGCAGTCTTCACCTTAATCTATTTTAACAAGCCTATAAGCAGAATCATGTAAACCGGGTAATAATGGGACAAATTGAGACATTTGTACAACTAGGAGGTTTGACTGTTATTCTTAACTATTTTCCAGATAATTTTAAAGTGCTGAAGGACAAACTTCATGACTTGTACCTCTCTTAAAAACAGTGAACCTCTGAACACAGAATTTTTCATCTTTAAGTTTACATGACCAAGATCTAATTACATTCTTGTGGATTGCACCAAGAATCTGGGGAAGGAAACTCATTTCATTCCCCATGACATTGTCTCAGTGAAGAGAAAGGCATTTTTAACTGGGGCATAACAAAGAGTCAGGTGGTGACATATTTTCCATTGGTTTGAGTGGAATGCCACATGGTCTGAAATTCTGAAAAAGATAATAAAAAATAAAATAAATTATTTTTAAAAAGTAATTCAGTAATAGAATTCATAATGCCAAAAGCCACAGGGAGACCACAGTATATTTAGGTTTTCATTTTTACATGTATTTTCAGGCTAAACTTCAGAAGGTGTTAATTTCTCAGTAATGAAATCACCCAGCAGAGCCAAGAATGACAGATCTGTTACCATCTCTACCAAAGCTTTTCCTCTGGTCTTCTAATATTGGCTCCTTATCCTATATGTATTACCTTTTCTTCATATTCTAATAATTTTCTTTTCTTCATATTCAAATAAATATTTCTGCGTATTTTAATAATTGGACAATGCTCTAAAGTGACCTGAAAAATAGTTTTGGTTGTACAGGGGTTTTCAGAAAAAAATGTTTCCTTTTCTCCAGAAGAGGAAAATCCAGACTGAATCAGGAAGAGCCAATAGTTAATTCAGTTTTCTAATCCACAAACAATGTAAATAAAGCATTCAGTTAGTTGTAGTGATAATTGTAGTCTTTGCTACTTACTTATCCCAGATGAAAAAAACCCCAGGAATTAAAAGCACATTAATATAAAATTATATTTTTAATAAATTGGAAAAAAATATTTATGGCACTACTTATTCACACAATGGAGAGGTGAACTTTATCAGATGTAGAGATCTCCAGCTCTTTACTGCAAATAGCCAGAAAAAATTTCTCATCCTTTACACAAACATATTGTAAAAATCAGCATGAAAAACACTGCCACATTCTAATTCTCAAGCCCTACTTAATAGCACCTGAGCAAGTAAGAAGTCTTTGAATTCTTTTTATCCTGTCTGCTTCTGTATACATTCCATGTGATACTAAAGTCAACAAATTTTATTTTTCATCAGCAGAGAAAAAAATTAAAAATTTCATAACTTCAGTTCTAAAGGTTTGTTCTCAGCTAGGAAGAATCAAGGAAACAAAAGAAGAGAAAATATCTGAAAAACAAAACTTGCAGAACTTTTC